ATTTTATTAAAAAATACTTGTATATATATATATATATATATATATATATATATATATATATATATATATATATATATATATATATATATATATATATATATATAAATTAATTTTCAACTAAAGAAATGTTGAATTAACATTGTTTTTCCATTTTGCACAGTAACTGTTAAACACATTTAAACACAACAAAAATTTCTTTTATTTGAACGTTCAGAATTTTAGTAAATCTTATATAACAGTTACAAAATACAAGCAAGAAAATAAAGAGTAATGGGAGGGACAAAAAAATTAAAGTAAGTGAGATCTGTATATTTAAGGGAAAAATTTTTAATAGCTGTAAAAAAGGAGCAAATGTGTCAAATGAGAATTGACTGTACGTTAGAAATATTTGATAATAATAATTGCTTTAGAATATTTTATCACAGTATTATTTTATATTATGAGACTAATTAAATTATTATAATAAAACCAAGTATCTTTCTTCTAGTGATACTAGTTTGCTATTGAATTCGTCCATTTATTATAATGCATAAAATTTTTTTAATTCAAGTTCTTGCGATATTTATATTTTTATTTTTAAAAACTATTATTATTCCTTTTAATTTTTTACATTTACTAAATTTTAATTAAGTAACTATTACAAAAATCCAAGAAGCAATAAATAAATTATCCGCGATATTTACCGCGCGATAATACACTCATCCACGATATTCTACAACATGTATATGCATATATTTATCATTAGTTTATTATTGATTATAACCATTTTTTATTTCAAATATAACAAGGGAATAATATTTTTAACCTTTTCTTAAAAGTATTTTTATTACTTACAAAGCATAGATTTTGTGTCTAGTAAGAAATTATTTGTTTGTAAATTTATTTATTATTAATTGATTAATTATTATTAATTATTATTTAATTAATAAAAATTTTAATTATAGTTTTGTAATAGTTTTAATAGTTTTGTAGATTTATAAAAATGAAATTACCCAGAAATTTATAAATAAATAAATTTATGTGTTAAAAAAATAAATTTATGTGTTAAAAAAATAAATTTATTGATTGTCAATAACTAATAAATTAATTAAATTTATAAATTATTAGCAACAACAAATTGGAAGTTTTTATTTTTTTTAATTTTATTATTAGGCAATAAAATATTTAATTAATTTTTTTAAATATATGGGTTTTTTTTGTTCTGATTTGTCAAAATTTTAGTTATTTAAAATAACTTAAAGACTAATTATATTGATGCTAGTTTTATAATCCAAATTAATATGATTAATAATTTGAAAGTGGTAATGGGACGCATGATTATTCCCCAAATGTCATTTTTCCGAAATGTCATTTTACCGAACTGCACTTTTGCGAATAGTCATTTTTGCGAAAAGCCAATTTTGCGAAATGTCACTTTTGCGAATTGTCATTTTTGCGAAAAGCTATTTTTGCGAATTGTCATTTTTGCGAATGGCCATTCTTACGAATTGTCAATTTTCCAAAAAGTCATTTTTGCGAATCGCCATTTTTACGATTTGTCAATTTTTCGAAAACTCATTTTTGCGAATTGTCATTTTTACGAAAAGACATTTTTACGAAAAGACATTTTTACAAAAAGCCCTTTTTGCGAAAAGTAATTTTTACGAATTGCCATTTTTGCGAATTGTCATTTTTAAGAAATGTCATTTTTGCGAATTGTCACTTTTGCGAATCGCTATTTTTACGAATCGCCATTTTTACGAATTGTCATTTTTGCGAATAGTCATTTTTGCGAAAAGTTATTTTTACGAATCGACATTTTTACGAATTGTCAATTTTCCGAAAAGTCATTTTTGCGAATTGTCACTTTTGCGAATCGCCATTTTTACGAATTGTCAATTTTCCGAAAAGTCATTTTTGCGAATCGCCATTTTTACGAATTGTCAAATTTCCGAAAAGTCATTTTTGCGAATTGTCATTTTTGCGAAAAATACTATAGAAAACTTGTAGGTCTATAAGTTCACTATTGTATTTTTCGCAAAAATGACAATTCGCTAAAATGACTTTTCGAAAAATTGACAATTCGTAAAAATGGCGATTCGCAAAAATGACTTTTCGGAAAATTGACAATTCGTAAAAATGTCGATTCGCAAAAATGACAGTTCGTAAAAATAGCTTTTCGCAAAAATGAGAATTCGCAAAAATAACAATTCGTAAAAATAACTTTTCGCAAAAATGACTATTCGCAAAAATGACTATTCGCAAAAATGACAATTCGTAAAAATGGCGATTCGTAAAAATAGCGATTCGCAAAAGTGACAATTCGCAAAAATGACATTTCTTAAAAATGACCATTCGCAAAAATGGCAATTCGTAAAAATGACTTTTCGCAAAAATGACATTTCACAAAAATGTCTTTTCGTAAAAATGACAATTCGCAAGAATGATTTTTCGGAAAATTGACAATTCGTAAAAATGTCGATTCGCAAAAATGACTTTTCGGAAAATTGACAATTCGTAAAAATGGCGATTCGCAAAAATGACAATTCGCAAAAATAGCTTTTCGAAAAAATGACAATTCGCAAAAGTGACATTTCGCAAAATTGGCTTTTCGCAAAAATGACTATTCGCAAAAGTGCAGTTCGGTAAAATGACATTTCGGAAAAATGACATTTGGGGAATAATCATGCGCCCCAGTGGTAATACTTAGATATTCAATTTTATAATCCCGATTAACTGTCATATATACAATGTAAAAATATTATAAGAAGTATAATCTGGATTATATCACATATAATCCATTTTTCTCCGTGAATAATTATTTCTTAAATAATTGAATTTTTATAAAGAGTTTTATCGAAATTTAAAAAAAAATTGAATTCTTTCGGCGAATTAAAAAAAACTTTAAGAATAAATGCAATTTTCTATCATTTTATTTAAAATTCTATAAATAATAATTAAAATTCTGCGATAAGTTTTGTTATTTATGAAAATAATTGAATTCTTGCAACAAATTATATTAAACATTTTTTTAAAGAATTGAATTTCAGTGAAGAATATTTCATTCTGAACATAATTGAATTCCGGAGAAAAATATTATTATTTATAAAAATAATTAATTTCCTGTGAAGAATTTTATTCACATTTTTTTAAATAATTGAATTTCTCAGAATTTTTAAAATCTTTTTGAAAATAATTAAATTTCATCGAGAAATTTCATTAAAAAATTGAAAATAATTGGAATCTGACAAAGGCTTTTAAAAAAAATTTCTTTAAATAATTGAATTTCTGTGAAAAATTTTATTTTAAAAAGAATTGAATTCTTGATAAGAATTTTATAAAAATTTCGTAAATAATTGAATTGCTTCGAAGAATTTTATTTTTTACGAAAATAATTAAATTATTTCGAAGATTTTTACAAATATTTTTTATTATTTATAAATTTTGTTGTGAAGAAATTCATAAAAAAATTTGTAAATAATTGAATTCCTGGTTAATTTTTATTATTTATGTAAAAAATTGAATTTTTGCGAATAATTTTGTCAAAATAGTATTTTTAACAATTTAATTCTTTTGGAAAAGTTAATTAAAATAATAGAGATTGAAAATCATTGAATTAAAGACAATTTTTGAAAATAATTGAAATTTTGCAAAGAATTTCATTAAAATTTTTGAAAATAATTAAATTTTGAAAAAGAATTTTATTATTCATAAAAATGACTGAAATTTTGCCAAAAATTTTAATAAAATTTTTGAAAATAATTGAAATTCCGAAAAGAATTTTATTATTTATGAAAATAATTGATTTCTTGAGAAGAATTTTATTATTTATGAACATAATTGATTTCTTGAGAAGAATTTTATTCAAATTGTTTTAAATAATTGAAATCCTATAAAAAATGTATTATTTGTGAAAATAATTGAATTCTTAAGAAGAATCGTATTGAAAATAATTAAATTGTTATAGGAAAATTTTATTAAAATTGCAATTTTATTAACTAAATCTTGTATACAATTTTGTCAAAATTTTTTTCAATAACAGAATTTTCAAAAGAACTTTATTTAAATTTTTGGAAATAATTGAATTTCTCAGAACTATGTTTTTAGTTCTCTGAATATTAATATATATTTGAATTTTTTCGAGAAACTTGATTAAAAAATTAGAAAATAATTGAATTGATGTGAAGAAATATAAAAAAATTAGTAAATAATTGAATTCCTGTGAAATTTTTATTAAAATTTTGTTTAAATAATTGAATTCTTTTGAAAAATTTTATGAAAATAGTAGATATCAAAAATAATTGGAACGAGGAAAAATTTTTGAAAATAATTGAATTTCCGAGAATAATTTTATTATTTATGAAAATAACTGATTTCTTGAGAAGAATTTTATTCAAATTTTTTTAAATAATTGAAATCGCATAAAAAATGTATTATTTGTGAAAATAATTGAATTCTTAATAAGAATTGTATTGAAAATAATTGAAGAATTTTATTATTTATAAAGATAATTGAAATTTTGACGAGGATTTTAAACATTTTTTTAACATAATTGAATTTATGCGAAGAAGTTTATCAGTTTTGAAAATAATTGAATTTCTCTAATCAGTTCTTAAAATTTCTATTTAAATTCATTAAAAATTGATAGTTTCTGTAATTTCAAATTGAAACCTTTGAAGTTCATCTATTTATAAAGATCGTAAACGCAACTCTTTTGAAATCTAATTAATTTTGAAATTTTTAAGTAAAATTATTCATTAAATGATTTATGAGTAATAATAATTAAAACAATCTTTAAAAAAATTTTTAGTAGTTTTTTAAAAAAATTTTTTTTTAAATTTTAAATTAAAAATAAATAATTAAATAAATTTTTAAAATTTTAAATTTTTAAAAAAAAAAATTTTATACAGTTGCCAAAAATTTCAAAAGACAATTCTACAAATAAAAAAATAATAAATTAATTCAAATATAAACATATTTTGAAAAATTTTAATTTAATTAAATTTGAATCGATTTAGACGAATAAATTCTGGATCTCGAGGGATTTGTGAGCTGGTATCAATGCCATTTTCAAGAATGGATCTCAATAAAGATTTCGCAACAGATTCGCAATACGAATATCATGGAAGGGACGCCTCATGTTATCGAAGAATAACTGGTCCAAGTTATAATAATCAAAATGAGTGGCGATATGCTGCGTCAAAGTCAAACATACCTTACGGTCCGCCGGGACTCACAGACGAGAGTTGGAGGTCACGACAACCGGATAGAGAATTTTCTCCACGCTTCGGAGACCGGATACCAGACGATTTCTACGGAAAGCAAAGAGATTATGATCGACGTCCTGGCTATGAAACTTATTATGATGATCCTCGTTATAATGTAAGACCTTATGGAACGGCACGTGGCCAACAAAATGAACTCTTATACCGACGCAGTGGCGGTGGAAGACGGGGTCCAGATTATGCCGATTATGAGTATCGAAAATCGTCGTATCCTTCGAGAGCGCAGGACAGGCATTCTTACAGAATAATGGACCTTGAAGATTACTCTCAATATCCACAGAAATTTAATTATTTTTCGAAATATCCTCCAGTGAGAGATGATCACAGATATCCTGATTCTAGTAAGTTACAATTCTTTCATTTCACATCTTTCTGAAATTAGCGTCGACAACTAATATTTGAGATTTTTGGAGACAAAAAATTTTGCTAAAATCACCTCTTTATTCACCTAGGGAGTGAAAAACATTTCCAGAGTTATTTTTTTAAAAGTAAAAATTCTCCGAAAAAAGTGTTTTATTCTTTTCGGCTTCGATAAAAAAACTCTTTTCGACGCTAAACGTCGGAGCTAACTTCAGGGACCACATTCACAGGGTTGCCACAAACAATTTAGTTTTGTTTTTCCCTGACTTTTCCCTGATTTCCATACAAAATTTTGACTTTTTCCCTGACTCTAAAGAATATTCTGATCTTAAAATTTTTTAAATTCAACAACTTCGAATAATATTAGTAGAAAACATGAAGACATCGATCACTCCGAGTCTTCGACTCGAAGACTCGGAGTGATCGATGTCTTCATGTTTTCTACTAATTAAAAATGAAACCTTTTTAAATTTCAATTATTCCTAAAAAGATCAGGCTATAATGCTCTTAATATTCAATAATTATCTAAAATTCGAACTAAAATTCATTTTTTAAATCAATTTTTATCATTATTAGAATTTTCAAACCCATTTGTTTAAAATTAAATTTTACGAAATTTCGATTATTCAGAACTTCCTCAAATAAAACATACATTAAAAAATAAAAACTTCAAATCGGTAACTTTTAAAAAAATTTTTTTTAAACTTTTACAAAAGAAATAATTCTACAGAATTCTTAGATAAAAGTATAAAAGATTTAAATTTTCAAAGATTTTAACTTGAAACCTTTTCAAAATTCAATTATTGTCTAAACTTTTAACTAAAATTCATTCTCAAATCAATTTTTATTAGAAAATTCTGCGAGAAATCATTTATTTGAATAATTAAATGTTTATTAAAATTTAATTCTCATAAATAATTTTATCAACGAATTTTTAAATAATTAAATAATTGTTTGAATTCTATTAACATTTTTAAGAATAATTACATTTTTAGAGAAATTAAATTAAAATTGAATTAAAAATAATTGAAATTCTGAGATGAGTTTAATAATATTTATGAAAATAATTAAATTATTGAGAAGAAATTTATAAAAAATTTGTATAATTAATTGAATTTCTGTCAAATTTTTATTATTTATGAAAATAGTTGAATTTTTGCGAATATTTTTATCAAAATAGTATTTTAAACAATTTAATTCTTTTGAAAAATTTTATTAAAATAATAGAGATTGAAAATCATTGACTTAAGGAAAATTTTTAAAAATAATTGAAATTTTGCAAAGAATTTTATTACAATTTTTGAAAATAATAATTAAATTTTGGAAAAGAATTTTATCATTTATAATCATTTATTCATTTATAATCATTTATAATTTATTCATTTATAATGAAATTTTGCCAAAAATGTTATTAAATTTTTTTAAAGAATTGAAATTTTCGCAAAAATTTTATTAAAATTTTTTTAAATAATTGAATTTCCAAGAAGAAATTTATTATTCAAAAAGATAATTGAAATTCTGACAAAAATTTTATTAAAATTTTTGAAAATAATTGAATTTCCGAGAAGAATTTTATTACTCATAAAGATAATTCAAAATTTGTGAAGAATTTTATTAAAATTTTTGAAAATAATTGGATTTCAGGAAAGAATTTTATTACTTATTTCAAAATAACTGAATTAATTTTTGCAATCATTTGGAACTTCTCGAAAATTCAATTTTTTAAATGTTTTTAACTAAAATTCTTCTATAAATCCGTTATTTTTAATAATTAATTAAAATATATTAAAAAATTTAACTAATTTCGAAAATTTTAAATTCAAACCTTTGAAGTTCATCTATTTTTGAAAATTGTAAACGCATCTTTATGAAAATTAGAAATTTATTAGAATTCGTGGTTATTTGAACAAAAAAGACACAAAAATTCAGAATTTTCTTATGAATTCTATAAATTTTTAATTATAATTTTTTCCAGTACTTTTAATAAAAATCCCTGACTTTTCCCTGAATTCCCTAAATTTCCCTGTGGTAATCCTGTTTTAATTCATTAAGAAAACTGTTTTTATATTCTTATCACATGAGAAAGTATGTATTTTATAATATTTTTGACGAAATTCCAGTGACCGACACAAATCAAATGGGACCCCCATTTATAATCGATCGCGACAAGGATCCTAATCATCATTGGGGATACTATGGTGGAACGTACGGAAGTCAATACGGCTATGACAACAATCATGTCTCAAATTATGATCCTCCGAAACACGTTGTTAATCCTCACAAACATCCGCGACCGTTTAGCAATAATCACGTTTATGGCCAATTTTATAATTACGGTGGCGCTTTTGGCTACGGTGACAACTACATTCCGAGTGATAGGGACGTGGCTTACGGTGGATCCGGATACATACGAGATTGTTCCGTAAGAACCGGGGCTGGATTCAAAGTGGGAAGGAATCTTATCGGCGCCACTTATCTAGCTCAAAATGTCGATGAATGCGAACATCTCTGTCTTCAGGAAAAAACAATACTTTGCAGAACATTCGCCTTTAGGTACAATTTTTACCATTAACATCCACTAAATCTTGAACTTTATCTTTTGCACTTGTATTTATTTTATACAAAACAAAACTCTATTTAATTAAATCTTTATTTGTTTAAAACTTTAAAGAATACTTTTTGCAGGTACAACGTGGAAGCTACAGACCCAACCAACAATTGTCACTTAACTTCAGTTGCTTATAAAGATCTGAATTTCTACGACGATATAGAGCCAGATCGAAACTACGACATCTATGTAATGTCGAAAGATAGAAAAAATTGCATACCCGCTAAGCAACCCTCTCAACAGCCACCAGACGGTATTTTAAACAATTAAAAGAAACTATATCTATTCACTATATTCTATAACTATTTTAATTCTACTGCTGAAGAATACACCCTTCATTAACAAAAACAATTCTTTAAATCTTTCTATATGAAATCTAAATTAGAAGGAATTTATGAATTTTGAAAATTATTGAAAGTTTTGAATTGCAGAATGTTTTTGGAGAGTTAAGAGTGGTTTCGGAATGCCGGAAGATGTAATAAAGGATAAAATCACTGTTCCTGGTTTCGGAGATTGTGAGTCGGAGTGTATTAAATCTCATCAGTTCACATGTCGGAGTTTCGTATTCAGGTTGTGTGAAAAAACATTTTTTAATAACTATCATCGATATCGTCGATTTTGCTAATTATTGAATTTTCGATTACAGACACAGTCAAGGAGAAACTGATGGTTCGAAAAATTGTTTCCTAAGCAATTGGTCAACGCAGGAAATAACTATTGAAAGATTGATTGATTTCGATGGAGCTGAACTATACGAAAGGGGTAGTTTCGGTAGAGGATGCGAACCTTTCCCATTTTCTGGTAAATCGAACTTTTCACCAACGGACCGAATAGTTCCATATGAAGAAGAAGAAGGTACAATCAACCTCTAAACGCAATTCACATTATTTCTATTATGAAGCTTTAATAATTCGCATTGCTTCTATTATGAAACTGAAATTTCACTTCTCTTTCTGCTTTCAGTTTGTTACAGTTCCTTCAGAAAGCCTTGCAGATTATCTCCGTATTCAGTAGCACTGTCAATGCGCGTAGACACTGAATTTGATTGTCGTCAGAAATGTACAAAAATGAGGAATAAAGATGATATTCCTTGTTGGGCGTACAGTTACAAGTAAGCTAAAAATATTTCTTTGGTTTTAAGTTTGAATCCCTTGATACAAGAACCAAACATAGAGCATTGAAATTAAATGGACTGCGTCTGGTCCTTGCATCAAGGCGTTCAATTGTTTTTCTAAGGTATCTACCTATCTAAGGTATCTATATTAAATCAAAAACTTTTCAGAATTAGAGGAGATAAATCGGACAATAATTGCCTGTTGAGCGACGTTCCAAGCAGAGATTTGAGACCAGGTGTGGATTACATTCCTGATGACGATCATATATTATTCGCATGGAAGGAATTGGAGTCAAGATGTCAAAAAATGGACGACACGTACGACGTTGTTGGGCCAATGTCAGTGCCAGGAGGGCCACTTAATTATCCTGATAGAAGACCATCGCAATATGATGAGCGCCCCAACCCACCTTCTGATACTGATGGTCCAGGATACCATTATCCACCACCAGATAAAGGAAAACCTAGTTTCGATTATCCACCATCTGCTGATATGGGTCCTGGCTATCAATACCCTATGCCTGACAAAGGAAAACCCAGTTTTGATTATCCACCTCCTGACAATGATAGTCCAGGCTATCATTATCCTCCACCAGATAAAGGAAAACCTAGTTTTGATTACCCACCTTCTGCAGATATGGGTCCTGGCTATCATTACCCTATGCCAGACAAAGGAAAACCTAGTTTTGATTACCCTCCTTCTTCTGATATGGGTCCTGGCTACCATTATCCTTCGCCGGATAAAGGAAAACCATTTTACTATCCACATTCTCATGACAATCCTAGTTACTATCCTGATAAAGGAAGACCTGGTTACGACTGTCCACCTCATGGCAACGAAAGTCCAGGGTACCATTATCTATATTCTGACAAAGGAAGACCGGACTTTGATTACAAACTACTGTTCAGAAGACCTTCTCGGCCTGATTACGGAAGACCGGATTATCTCCCTCCTGACAGTGGTAGACCTCCAATGACCTTGTACGGCAGACCTCAATCCGATTACCACCGTCCTGATCATCATCACCGAAGACCCTATTATAATGTTAACCGATATCCACCTCCGGACGGTAATCACATTCCTGATGAGTATCAAGCAGTAATTCCACTCGATTCCGATAAAGGAGGTTTTGGTCCACATTCGGATGCAGGAATGTCCTATGGACACGGTGATCATGACAATAAACTATTCAACTTAATTCGTAAGTTCTTCATTTACAAACCTATCATTAATTAACGATTGTTTGGAGTTTTAACAACTAAAATTACGTTTTTCTTTAGCAAGCGATCAAACAATATTCCAACATTACTCAGTGAATGGCTATCCATGCAAACGAGGAACTAAATGTGAAAGCAACAAACTAACTGGATTTTGGTCTTGCGAAACGGAAGGAAGTGAATTAGGCTCTTGGGACTATTGTTGTCAACCTACGAGCCATTGTGGCTATTCAAGAGGCTTTGATTATCCTTGGTAATTTCATATTCATAATACAAAATAAAAATAGATTCCATTTATCCATATATTCTATTTATCAAATTTCTATGAATTAAACTAAATTTCACTATGACTTCAACAATACTTCGATTAACAAAAAATTGTTCAATTACACCAATTTTTGAATCTACCGAGAATAGTTCGAAAAAAAGTCTTCTTTTTTTCGAACCGTTCTCGGTAGATTCAAAAATTGGTGTAATTGAACTCAACTAAATTATTCTTCTTACTCCATTCAAATGGGTACAATACAAAACTATTTTTTCGTTTCTCCCAAAAAGGTGCCACGTGGGACCATCAGAAAAACAGTGGAGACCATGCAGTGAAAAATACTACCCCTACCTACCGAGTTCGCGGCCAATAATTCATCCACAAAGAAGAAATCATCATGATATGGGACGTCGTGTCGACGAGGGCGATGTGGACAAAAGTTTCCTAAGCAGACGTTGGCCCGTTGCTTATCTACACTGCGAACCCCCACCTGGTGAAAGACTTCCAGTCACAACACCTGAAGTTCAAAAAGATCATCCCTCAAACAGTACAATAAGAAGTCGAAAATGGATCGCAAAAAGAACAACGGAACAACCGCCGAAAGAATTAAGATTCATTCAAGCCGTACCACTGATAGATCCCCCCGAGAGGGAAATTGAGAATGCCAATTCTACAAAAGCAAATAAATCCGAATCATTACTGACTAGAATCAGATCTGCAAAAGTTGAACGCATTAATAATCCTTTAAAAAGTAACAAATAATAAAAAATGTAATATTTAAAATGAAAAATTTTAAATGGACAGTTTACTATTTTTATTGTAATTTTTCACTATTTTTTTTACCACATTGTTTCGTTAATTAATGTAAACAGCAGAGAATTCACGATTTAAAAGTAAGACTATAGAATATTTTCATGTCAAAAGATTTTATTTTTAATTTTAAAAAATAAGTAATTTTCTAACTTATATTTTGTATATATATTTCAGATAAGATTTTCTACATTCTTAGACAATGAATGTTATTAAGAAGCAGTATTAAATATTTAATTAATTTACGTATCTTTACACAAATAGAAATATCTGCCAGAAAATTATAAATTAGATATTGTATAATTATATTTCTTTCATTTTCAGTGTAAAATTTAAATCTATTTTGAAAATAAATTTTTGAATAAGTCAAACTTTATAGTATTATTTCTAGCAAACTATTTTTCTTTCTAAATCATTTATCCTAAGTATAAAAAAAAACAATAATATTTTATTAATTTTCTATAGTGATTTTCATAAAAAATCTGTTAAATTTAATCGATTTTTGCTGTTAAATTTAACAACTACGCTGAAAACTGACATTTAGAAAAATTAGAAAAGAATTCTATTCCTTATTTTATCAGTTTTTAATCTAAAAAAATAAATTTTAAATCAAACTTGATAAAATTTAAACATTTAAATTAAAAATGAAAATTCTACCTAAATCACGATCAACGACATCGCAAATACTAAAAACTTTTGTTAAACAAATATTTAAAGTAAACTTCATATTTATTTTTGCACACAGGAATTAAAATTTTTTAAATATCGATTTCCAACTTTCTGAAATTGATTCTATAAAGTACAAAATGTAATCCTTCCAAAATTTAATTGTTTTCTACAATTTTTAACTAAACTTTCTCTTAATCAAATATTTTTTAATAATTTTGCGAATGTTCTTCAAAACTTGAATTATTTGTACAAAAAGGCAATTTTTTATAATAATTGTAACTAAAACAAAAAATCAAAAAATAAAATTTTCAAGTTAAATATTCATCTCTAATTTTCAAGTGCTTAGATTTTTTAAAAATTAATTGTTATTTAAAAAATAATTGCTCAAAAATAACAATAATTTGAAGCCAAAATAAAATAAATTGTCGAATTATTTCTTTGTCTTCATTTTTAAAAACGTTGCGGACTTCAGTCTTAAGAAAATAACTGATTTTTAACAAATTCTAATAAAAAAACTCTTAAAATTAGTTTTTTAAATATATTTTTAAATAAGTTTTGAATAAAGATAAAATAGATTTTCACTTTTATCAAATTAAATAATTTTAAATAATTGAATTTTAATAAAAAAATTTGAAAATAATTAAATTTTTTAATTTAATTTCCTTTCTTTGAAGATAATAATTGATTTTTAAAAATTTTTGATGGGGGAATTCTAAAAATTAGTTTTTCAAAATTATTTAATTATGTTGACAAAATTATTCAAAAATAATTTAAGAAGATTTGACTCTAGTTATTTTATGTGGAGGACAGAAGAAGAAAATATATAAATGAGAACTCTGGTAGTTACAACCGGAGTCCTCAATAGTGTCTGTTGCATTGATGACTTGAATGCTATAATATAACTCTAGTCACTCAGGCTTCTACTTGTCACGCAAACATGTCACGCAATTTACACACAAACACTGGTGCTTTTGCAAACACTTTCGATCCAATTATTTGAATTTACATTCACATTTTCTTATTTCGTCCTTTTCTTATTCTCGCAACTGATTTATTATCGTCATCAAAGAATATCAATTATTCTTGATTTCAATTTAGCTTAATTTGTATTTTTTAATTTAAACATGTATTTTAAGTGGATAATAGCGATTTTCCTATTATATATAGATATAGTGATTTGTTTATCACCTGTAATTACTATTAAATGTATTTAAATTGTTTAAATTGTTTTACAATTAAACGTGTTTCTTATTTACTCACGTGTTTTTATTTTGGATCGAGTCATATTAATAAAATCTCCTTTCTTAAACAATATTACTGTATAAATTTAGTAGACTGCACTTACTTTGAGAAGAATTTAACAAGCTCGTGGGAAAATCCATGTGATCCAGGTGTAACAACGATTAGGTTAGGCGACAGTTGAAATTCTGAAAAATAAAAATAATGTTACAAAATTTGGACAAAAGATTCAAATTCAGTACAGTATGAAAGATAATTAAAATTGGAAAAATATTTGGAGGATTCAATAACCATACTAGTTTTATTCAAGGTATTCAAGGGTAGGAGACAAATCACAATTGGATGTATCTGATAAAGTGTCACGTTTGATGACAATGTTTGTCAGTCCTTATTTTTAAAACGATTTTTCTTTCAACAACTCTGATAATATGCAACATTACAGAAAATTGAGTATTTTACTGTGCGGTGTAGTACTCTAGCGGTGATTTTTTATACTATATTCACATTTTTGCAAAGATTTCTATTTTACTATATGTTTATAAGTTCGTACTTCGTATAGTTGCAAATAGTAGTTACATATATCTAACAAAATCTTTAAATCCATGAAAATAAATGAAACGGGAATAATTCAGAATATACGGTATTTTCTTGTACATTTCGCGAATATGAGTTCGAATTGCCAGAAAATCATTGTTTATATTAAAGAATACGAATTGGCAAACATTTTCAAACACTAAAACACCGCGTTATTGAAAACAATACCTACTTAGCATGGTTAATTTTTCTTTTTTGACAACACTCACCAAATGTCCAATCAAATATCTGCCAGCTTCTTTGCGGGTCGTATTTCAGAATAGGATTCAATTATTGCACTGAAAGAAAAACTTTTCTACAAATAACAATTAAAAACTTATTGTTAAGAAACAAGAAATAAAAACTAACAAACTGTGCTACTGCAGCGCTGCTGACGCCGAAATAAGGTTATGGTCGCCATTTTTGCTCATCTGCGCATGACTGAAGTATCACTTGAAGTGCGCCGTAGAACACCGCTCGCACCACACGCGATAATACTAATACCAGTCGGGTATCAGTGTTACTGCTTTCTGCTATTCGACTGATATTAGTGTGTGCAGTTCGAGCGAAGAGTCCAGCTCATTATTTTGTATATTGATTAAGTATTAATTCATTGAATCCAACAGGATTTAATTGCACTCCCTGCAAATACAGGCAGTGCGACAGATGTTAGAAATTACAATAATCGTACAATTAATTAATTACAAAAATACAATAAAACTACGACTACAATTAAAGACGAAGGATGTCGCATTATTGGAAAATTAATTACAATAAAACTACAACTACTATTAGAGACGAAGGATATTGTCATCTTTGGAAACAAATGAGTATTTTCCAAACAAATTTCACTCTATTACGGACAATTACGGATCCTTTTAAACGAAGATAGCAAACAGTAAGTTTACAAAAGTAAATTTTTGTATTTTAATTTATGCCTATATTATATTTAATACACATTTGTCGTGACAGTCACATTTACGTTATTTAATTAATTTTTATACTGACACACTGACGCTCCACGACAAAAAATTTCTTATTTTCCAAAAATTTTAGGTTATGTTTATGTCACTTTTTGCCATTTTTGCTAAATATTCAATTTTGATTTTCTGTTGTCAAAAACACTGTTTATTGAATATTTTTTCCAAACTATAGATTCGTAAGTATTTCTTTTATAAAGGAGTGTTTTTTTTGTTTATCGTTTATATTAAGTAAATAAATTATTTACATAAATCGAAAAAATTCGCTATCCAAATAAAAGAAAATAGATCTGACATAAAAATACATACATATTTTGAATATTTTTGACGTTTTACATATAATTATAATGATATACGACACTTGTAATACCGTATTTGTATAAATATATAAATTTCACCTGTATGTACATTCACGTTTACGTACATTTACTTACCTACGTGCACAATTTAATATTCATAACGAAATATTTCTATCCTCGACGAAATACTTATCAGTTTCTTATTTCCGGATAATTCAAAAACTATTCACGAACTCATTGAACATGTACTTAAAAAGTTTTAATTTAAATTTTAAAAACAAATGTTTCGCTCAATTAGGTATTTTATTTAATTTTCTCTTGTCTCGACACAAGCAGAAGAATGGAAAATATTATTGATTTTTCGAAATTTTGCAGATTTTTATGGTGAAATCTGAACATTCGGCTGGCTTGATGTGACACAGCCGAATTTCGAACAACATCAGCTATGCCGACATCTTGCCTTCGAAGCATCCAGTTTTTCTGTTCTTCCCAAGTTTAATAACACTGTAAGTAGAAAAAAAACTAATTAATCAATTAAAATCAATTATATTTTTAGGAAAAATAATTTGTTTTATCAACAGTTTTTTTATCGTATTCGTATTAATGGAATACAAATTTTTTTAAGACAAATTCTAAATATTATTTCAGGTTTTCACGTAATTGTTGAAAAAAAATATATTGGCCACTTGTCAAGAAAATGATCTATAGAGTTTATTGAATCGTGAGAAATCAGACACATTCTTTGATAAATCGACTAATGCTCTGCTATCTTATAGCTTTAAACACTTAAAAGTGATATCTATTTTACACAATTTTAACACGATAGCTGTTATTTTTTCTAAATATTTTTTTTTCAAAAACAAAAATAGTTAAAATAATATTTCAATTTTGATAAATATGACTATAATTTTAATTACAATTTAAACGAAATTATTTTTTCCTAAAAACCAAAATTTTCTATCTTGTGCTTTTGAAAACAGTTTAGTTTTGATTATTTTCGAAAGATTTTATTAAACAAATTTTTATTTTTATGAATTTATTTCTATTTTATTATTTTAACATAATTTTATTAAAAGGCGAATGTATTTTATTAAAAATACAATTTAAGTGAATTAATTTAATATATTATTTCCCTTTATGTCATATCAAGGAGAAAAGTCAAATTTAACTCGAAATTAAATAAAATAAATTGATATTTGATAAAATAATATTTCAGGTAACATTAATTTTTTAGTGAGCACTCAAAGACATTAGTGTCGACTACAATCTAAGTGCATTGACTTCTGATAATACGTAATTTTGTATATATACGCATGAACATGCGTCCATTCAAATATATAAGCTTCGACAGCAAAATCAATTTAATTGAATCAGCAAATACAATCAAATAAATTGATTTCTTTTATTAAAAATGTAGAAATAAAAAAATATACAATTATCCATATTTTTTTATTTCTTAACTTACTTTTTTAATTCAAGAAACGTTCAAATATTAGCTTCAAATATTAACAAATAAATATTACAAAAATTGAATTTAATTTAATATTTTTTACTTCTTGACTTACTTTTTTAATTCAAAAAATGTTCAAATATTAACAAATAAATATTACGAAAATTGAATTTAATTTAAAGTTCACTATTAAATAAAATAAATAAAAAATAAATATTAAATAAATTTGTCAAATTTAACAAATAAAAACTACACGAAAAAAAAATTTACCTGGAACTAAATTTCACTATATTAGCAAAATTTTTAGTTCATTTAGTTAAGATTTATTCTAGAGAAACTTTTCATTTTTCTATAGTTCTTTTTTTCGTAACAAATTTAAATAAATTAATTCGCAGTCATATCTATGAAATTTGTACTTAAAAAATACTTTTTCGAAAGAAATTTTTCCAAAAAGTCTTTTTTACCCAAAAATATTGATGATAATAAAATATTTTTCTTTCCGAAAAAAAATGAGGAAAGAATATTTTTTAAAATTAGTTTTTAGAAAATAGTTAACAGTCAAAATAGTGAAAATAAAATTCGAAAAATAAATAAGAAGGTAAAAATTGATAAATATTTAAAAATGTAAATTTAATACTTAAAATATTTTCCATGCGCGCACACTGCATCCAAAAGTAGAAAATAACTTGATTAGAAATATATTCTGCGAGGAGAAAATTGCAAATAAGCGATGAAAATAAAAAGTTTAATTTACTGTTGACATGCTGAATTTGAATGGGAGAAAAAAAAATGTTCATAATCACACTAATCCTAAGACACTGGCGATATTGAAAGGAAGAGACTTATCGAAGAACTGGTGGTGTAGGCGTTGAACTGAAGACGTAAAGTAAAGGACGTGGACGTCGCGACGCATTTTAAGAGGGGAGGATGCCTCATATTTCTTAGCTTCTTCTATTGGGTCCCACCACTTGTCAGTTTCTTCTTTAAACAGATCAACATTTTTTTTTATTGTTTTTTCGGTTTTCTTTTCAACACCTCTTGTTTAATCCATTTTCGCTCATTTTTATTCAATAAAATTTTAATTGAATTTTATTCAATAAAATTTTAATTAAAATTTATTCAATACAATTTTAATCAAATTGTATTCAATAAAATTTCAATTAAATTTTATTCAATAAAATTTTAATAAAATTGTATTCAATACAATTTTAACTTAATTTAAATTGAATTAAATTTAATTAAAATTTTATTGAATAAAATTTAGTAATTGTTTTATAATTTTCTCACTCGGTTGTCTTAATTATTGATAAAACTTTCGATCACTCCGAGTCTTTCGACTCGGAGTGATCTTATTTCTCAAAGTTTTATTTATAAAAAAAAAAAAAATTAGCAATTTTTGTAGAAATAATTACAAATGAAGAAAAATGTATTTTATTCAAGTAAATAATTATTTGTCTTTTATAAAGTAAATTAAATGCTATTTGCTCCATATACTGAACTTATTAATTCAAGTATACAATTTATTTCGATAATTTCAGTATTCGAAACAAAAATTTGAAAAAAAACAAAAAATTTATTTATTGTAAATAAAATACTTAAAAATTATTTGATTCAAGTATTTATTTTTTTTTAAAATAGACAAGTAATCGGTTATTTGAATCAAAATTCTTTTCAAAATGAATATTATAATTCAATTATTATTGCCATTATTTTATTAGTCGCAGGACTCTGATTACTTATTTACTTTTTCTTTACTTTAAAAAGTAATTTTCTTGTAATTAAATATTAACTCAGAAAACGAAACATTGTAAACAAAAAAGAAAAAATAAATAAATTATTAATAGTGTTATTATTGTACATCAGCAGACAACCCAAGGCTTTATGTCACAATTGCATAACGGTTTTACAAGAATGTCACAAATTGTTACAGTTACGTAAATATGACGTTTCTGCGATTGTTTACTGTATATATAATAATAATAATTAGGAAAATAAATAACGTTAATATTTTTCGATTTCTTTAAATGTGATTGTATATTTTTTATTATATTTTAGTTTGTATAATAATTAATATACAATTATTATAAAAAATAAAATAATTGTAACAATAATTCATTATGACTCGTTAGTTCGTTAATTAGTTTTTTAGTTGGTTAATTAATTAGTTAGTTCGTTAATTAGTTTTTTAGTTAGTTAATTAGTTGGTTGGTTGGTTATTATTGGCAGTTATCCCGTTAATGTTTAAAGAAGAATACAAAAGAGTGAAATTGAATTAAGCGAAAAATTCTATAGAGGCGAATGGTTATTGGAAGCTCCATAACAATCCAAAGAGTCCCTCAACATCGTGATTTCCGGTGGCGGCGTTGACCGGATATGGCAAAGAAGTAAGTCGTTTGCCATAGCGTTGTAACGAGTTTCATATGCGAATCACGCAATCCGTGTACATACCAAAGTCTGATGACATCACATATATTTATACTCATTGTATCTAAATTCGCCTATAAATGTTTAAATAACTTTTATTTATAATTTCATAAATAAATATTATTTCCGAAACCAATAAATATTCCAACAGAACATATTTTGTCTAGAGACAAGAGAGTAAATTCTCCTAGGTGCTAATTATAAACTGGAAAATGAAAAATGAACATTAATTTCGAATTAAATCAAAAATTCAAAATAAAATAGAAAACAGAATAAATAAAAAAAATAAAATTAAATATAATAAAATAAAAATAAAAAATTTAATAAAGTCGGCTCATTAGCCCTAGGAACTTATTTTTGAATAAATAAATAAATAAAAGTAAAATAAGACAATTCTCTTCATTATTTTCAATTAAATAATGCTGCAAATATTAGAAAGAATAATTTTTATTTGAAATTCTATAATTGTAAGAATTGTAAATAAATGATTTGATAAAATTCCAACTTTAGAAGAAAATAGGCTTGTATAAGGTATAAAAATATTCTTTTCGTGGGTTCAAGAGCCAATGCCATTGTAATTTTTCTTTTTCGATTTTTATTTTTTTTTAACACCTGATATGTGACTATAAAATTTATACTGACTTGTCTTAAACATTGCATCGGATCTTTTATAGCATTCACGTTTTGGAATGCAGAATCATCTGATTGTAAACAAGGGTTCCCGTTTCACTTGTACGGTTTTCACGGAAAATAAGTGAAAAAACAATGACTTTTTACATTATTACAACTATAAAAAAATAATCAAATTTTAATATATTTAATAATTCAAATTTTCCCGGAATAATTTATTTATATTATTAATTTTTTTTTTTTAATTTTTACATTAAGTTTTATTTATTTTTTTGTTAATTTATTAGTTTTCAAATGCTTTTGATATTATAACAATTATTAACAGAATGAAAATTTTTTTGAAATTTTATATTTTTATTTATTCTCTCTCTCTCTCTGCAAATTTTTTTTTTATTTTTATTTCTTTATATTTTTTATTTATCTGAAAAAAACAGACAATATTTCTTTACTGATAAATGTTTAAGAGCAATGTAGGAATTTTTTATCTAGTTGGAAATTTGTCAATTAAAATAAAATACTGGTTTCAGTCGCCTATACGTTAAATCAGCTTTACATTTTCATTCTTTGCACATCACTACAAACAGGAATGTGGCGAATCGATAAAGGATCAAGTGATTCTGTCAGAAAAGCCGCAATTTTAACGAGAAATAAAAATACTCGGAAATAAATTTTTATTTATTCTAAATTAATGTATAACGAAAAGTGACAATAATTTTAGTCTCAGCGCAATCAAAATTTAAATTATTTAATACAACGCGCGACAGAAAATGCGAAAAAGAAAATATTTTATTTATAACCGAAAAGTTGAATATTATCAAATAAATTACTTGAATCAAAAAATTTTTATTTAAGTATTTTATTTACAATAATTAAAAGGTTTTTTCTTTTTAATACTGAATTATTGATTCAAATTCAATTTATTTCGAATACAATTTAATTTAAATAAAAATTATTTGATTCAAGTAAATATTTATTTGATTCAAGTAAACATTTATTTGATTCAAGTAAATATTTATTTGATAATAGACCAATAATATTTATTTGAATTAAATTTTTTCTTTTCCAGTGTAGAAAAATTTAAGACCTAAATAATGAACTAAAATTTTTTTATTTATTTATTTTATTTTAGTTTTGGTAAAAAACAATTTTTTTGGTATTGAATATATTTTTTTAATGTATGAACTTGATGTCTGTTGTTAAAACAAGTCCCAGTGGAATCTCCCTTATTTACATACACAGTACAAGTGTCACAAAAGGCCCTTTCTTCCACCTGCGATGAATGAACGTCAAGAAAGCAGAAGTCTTTTGATTTTCACAGAACATGACGAATATGAAATTTAAA